ATCATTTTTGTCCGGACCCCCGGCTTTCCCCCCGGGATAACCTTCATCAATTTCAAATTCATCAAAGTTTCCGACCACGCATTTCTTGCACCCAACGCCTATACTTGAAGGTAGGGTCAATATATATATATATATATAAAGTCTAAGCGGCAACTCTTTGCTCTAGACGCCTATACTTGAAGGTAGGGTCAATATATATATATACATTTATATGTAAGGCCATTCTCATATACACTGGACGCCTTGAACAGTATATATATTTTTGAGACACTTTCTTTAGTAGAGGGTAGCACTGGCGCTGCACTGGCCCGACTGGCCAGTGATTTCTAAAACCTTGCCAGAGCCCTTTTGGCGTCGTGGGTTCGATTCTCCGATCACCAACATCTTTTCCCCATTCCTCTTTTCTTTTGCTCCAGACGCATGCACCTGAAACCCATGGCTCTCTAAATGCATTGTACTTTTCGGCATTGAGATATGCAGCACCTGGGCGGCGCTGGGAACCATGGCTGCTCATGGGGAACGGACAGGAGAGGAGCAGAGGGCAGCGAGCAGCAGCATGAATGCATTGGCCTACCCGCTTTCGCTCCCAGCATTTGAGGTACTGCTGGAGTGCTTGAAGAGATACAAGCAGCCTTTTCCGGCGCGAGCGGAGGTGATCACGGACATTATCAATGCAATGCTGCCAGCAGAACAGCAGGTGACCAAGGTACAGGTTTTCAACGTGCTCGACAAGCTTAAGACACAAGAGCCCGTGTTCGCAGTCAGGCAGCATCTTGTGCAGCAGCGTACTGCAAGTGTGGCCAGGGAGCAGGGCACTCTTTTCGTTGCCATGCCACAGCCCATCAAGTGTGTCCTGTGTACCGCAGATCTGAAGTGGGCGCCAGCGGTGACAAAGTCTTTCTTTTACCCGCATGACGGCGCGCCGTCAAAAGGCCTTGTGTACAGCAAAGTCTGCTCCGCATGCAACACACTGTACTGGACATCTCACGTACTACTGCCCGCGTGGGAGCGATGTGAGACGGCCCTACACAAAGAGCGCAGACAATGCCAGCTGGCTCCAGCTCTTCGGGGACACCATCCTCAGCCGGGAGCTTCTCAAGAGGCACGACTACAACCTGTGAGTGCCTTTCTTTTTTGTATCTGATACTCCATCTACATTTCAGCCTTACCCGCGAGATCAACACTCGCCAAACATCCATCACAAGCAGCATTTGAGGGCGGGTACAAGGATAGTGCAGGCTCTTAGATTCCTGGAGATGCTATTTTCAAACTCTGGGCGCATGCGGGGCAGGACCAAACAAACGCACGTCACAGGGCCTTTCTGTTTCCGCTGTGAAGAAAGACAGTTGGCACTCCCTGTACTGCTTTTCTAGCAGGTGCTGCGAACGTAAGTTTAACAAACCCTAAACTCCTTCTCCAGGTACTACGCTCAGACCAGCTTCTCCGCTGCGGTCAACGTGCACAACGTGCTTTACGGTCTCCAGCGGTTCACGGAGGCACCGGAACTGGGCCTCCAGCACAATCAACACCTGCGCACGCACAGGGGTGCGCTGTACGTGAAGCGCTTTGAAGAGGGCTACTTGCTCTCATGGGTGCTGCGATTCTGCCAGGAGCTTTGCGAGAGCCAGCTGAGCGAGATTGATCTCCGGTGGCCGCTGGATGTCCTGATACACCGGGTGAGACCTCTTCCAGGCGTCACACTGACACCTTTTGCTGACCCATCTTTCCTCTTCTTTCCAAGAAACAGCATTTGCCGCTTCCAGCAGTAACAGACAGACAGCCATCTCTTGGCCACCGTGTGTTCTTGTCAATACACCGGCCAACAGTGCCAATACTCAGCTCCAGTTCGCCCACGTAGTTTATTCGTTTTCGTTTTGGAAATGAGTTCGTGCAGAAGACAATTCCACTCTCCTTGGCCAACTTTGCGACAGGCTCTGTGTTAGGTCGGGTTGAGCAGTCGCATTCTCTTCAGAACTCTGCTTTTGGGTTGTGTACACGTTTCAGCAGGTATGCCGAGCGCACTTCTTGTTCCTGCGAGAGGCCTCTGGCGCCAAAGGAAGATTGTACATCAGCAACGCATGGGGCTTCTCTCGTGAGCGGTCTCTTTATTCTGCCCCATCGTTTCATCTGCAGATAATCGACCCCTTCTGGTGCCAACTCAGAGATGAAGCCCTGGAGCACCCGAAGGTCTGCCGGAACGAGTTCTGCGGGCGGTACGCCCATGTGGACGGTAACTGCAAGGTTATCCGGAGCTGTTGCGCCCGCCGGGACGTGGAGATGTTCGAGACGGCAATCGGGCGAGTCGTGAAAGGCTGCCCCAAGACGCCGGCGCGAGGCAAACGCTTCTGCAAGGAGCATCTGCAAGAGGCAATACAGAAAGGGCAAGACGGGGATGCACTGCCACCCGAGGCCGGGGAGCCGGGTGATTCGGACGTTGATGACGGCGACAACGCCGCCGAGAGCGACGACGAGATAGTTTTTCTGGGGGAGGGCGATCAGGGGCGGGAGCAGGGGGGCGCCACCGGGGACGTGGCAGCCGCAGACGGAAAGACGGCGGGCCGGGCACGTGACAAGGGGAAGGGCAAGGCGCCCGAACCGGACGGGCCGCAGCAACAAGAGTGGGAGGTCAACGAAGACGCACCGGTGGCGCTCCGCACCCGTGGGCGGGCACAGCTTGCAAGTTCCGGGGGGATCTGGGAAGCGGAGCGGATCGTGAAGAGCATGGTCAAAGGAGGGGTAAGCAGAGATCGCGTTTCCATGAGCAAATCAGCTTCTGAAGACACCCGATTTCAAGCTATGTCGGCCTCTACATCGATAGGAATTTTGAGACTTTATCTTTCTGCATCTGCATATGGAATCAGCCTCCGTCGGGGTTCTTTTCTCGTTGCACCGAGTTGAGTGGCGTCTCTCCGAGAAGCTGTCTGCGATGACGATGCTGACGAGAGGCATGCACTCCCTTGAGATTCTTTCTGCCTTCGTTTGGGGTTAGCACGCTAACGAGATCGGAAGCCTGGCGTACGAGGAACTCTGCACCCGAATCGGTCGAGACCGCCTACGTTTTGTGATTCTCCTTCTTGTCGCAAGCTCTATTTACTTGACTACTGGACGGTTGTCCGAAGCCACAGCCATAGTACTTTGTCGAATGTGCACGCAAGGTTTTCTTTTATAAGGACTCTGAATTGTATCGCCCGGCTGCCACTTGATCGTAGGTAACGATCTACCTCGTCAAGTGGAAGGGATTCCCATCATCGGAGAACACGTGGGAGACCTATGCCGACGTCACCATCGGCGGCATGGGTCTCATGAACGAGTTCAAACGCCGCCAGCTCCCAGGTGCGCAAAGAAAGCATCATTCGAAAGTCCTCTGAGACCGCTTCTCGCACGTTCTGCTCCGTTTACTCGTGTCGCTTGCAAGGTACGGATCTGTTCTCCGCTGCCCGTCCAATCTCATGTCAGTTCGAAGGACATGCCATCAATCCGCAGACTCTTTCCGAGAAATGATTGTTCTCTCCAACTTCTACAGACGACTTCTACACCCGCGACCGGCAGGACAAAGAAGAGGACCCAGCGGACGAGACGTCGCAGCCGCAGCAGAAGAAGAGGAGGATCACATCCTGCACGCCCCGGGTATCGGCTGACGGCAAGGGCCACACGGCGGGAACGGTCGTCATGTTCTGGTGTTGCGGTCACATGTTTCCCCCGCTGGAGATGATCCTGTCGGAGAGCACAACGTTGGTAAGTCGAGAAGAAGCACGTCCATCCACGGAAAGCATTCTGAAAAGAAGTGCCCACGGAATGAACAAAGGAACGACCAGATTCATCTGAGAGAAGAAAAGAAAGCGCGTTTCTTTTCTGCCGCGTCGAGGCCGCCCGCGATGCCCAGAATACTTCGCTGAACTCCAAGTCGCACTGATCTTTCTCCCTTTGGGCGGCCGCGGGCGCGCAGCCGCGGCGCGCGGCGTCTTTTTCCGATTTATGAGGTCGCCTGGTTCCCAGCTTACGGTAGCAGCAGACATGCAGCCACGGAAAGAGAAAGTAACCGCCGATGCCAAGTGAGGACCTTCGCAGCCGTATAACGCTCCGTTACAAGCCAAACTCATCGACAAAACGGTCACCCATTTCACAAACCCGAAACTAAACCCGTACAGCATCCTTACAGGTTCATCACTACTTCATGGAGTGTTTCGACCGCGTGGAGGACCTGCCCGAGTACGCGGGCATGGACGACATGTGCCATTGGGCACGCTTTGCCGCGAGCGGCGGCCGCCCGGACATGTGCGCCAAGACGAAGGCCTTCGTGGAGAAGGTGAAAAAGCTCGGTAGGTTATGTTTACTACAGCGCGAGACGATGTAGTACGTGTCGAGTCAAATTCTGATGGCCCTTTTTACCAAGTAACTACATATTCTGCCCGGCAAAACAGAATTTGGTCAGTCAGGGTTTCAGGGAGCGAGACTTCTGGAATCCGGTGACAGAGTGTGCATTCGAGAGCGGAAAGATAGGATGAATCTGATGTCAGCCAGCTAGGCGCTGACGTCAGCAGGGTCTGATGGTACTTTTTTACCGAGTAAATACATCTTCTGCCCGGCAAAACAGGATTTGGTCAGTCAGGGTTACATGGAGCGAGACTTCTGGAATCCGGTGACAGAGTGTGCGTTCGAGAGCGGAAAGATAGGATGAATCTGATGTCAGCCAGCTAGGCGCTGACGTCAGCAGGGTTTGAGCTATTTGAAAAGAGACACGTGGCAGGCTGCGGATACCGTAGTTTGCAAGGGGCTACGGATGCTCGACGTCCATGCATCGCGAGGCATACTAGTCAGTCAATATCTTTGCGGTTGAGTATTGTCTCATATCTCATCGTTCCGACATGTTTGTAGTCGACAAATTCCACTACTCGAAGAACCACGTGGGGAAGTGGTGCAAGGAGAACGTGAGCCCGTTCCTGTATCCGGAGCTGGAGGGAGCTAACATGAGCGTCTGCGAGCAACGGTTTAAGTGGTTCGGCAAATACCGATGGCTAGCGAGGTACGTACAAATGAGAGCAGTGCGGGCGGCTGACGAGACATAATAAAAGCACTCGGTGCGCAGGTCGACGGACGCTTTTGTCATGATGCAGCGGCACGCATTGCGAGACAGAAATCATTTGCTTGTCAGGCGTGCAGCAATCTTTGCTCGCAATGACAGACATGAAACGAAATCTTTCCGGCCTTAAAAGTGACGTGCACAATTGTTTGCAGAAACATGAACCAGCGGCGCTTCCAGTTCCTGCTCCTGATACTGACCAAGCTGGATCACCTACAACGGGACGCAGCAACCAATCGCCATCTCCAAGCTCTGCAAGCCGCGCACCCGGGGGGGAGGCAGCCAACCCTGGCCGGGTCAACGAAACGACAGGTGACTATCCAAAGCTAACACACGCAATCACTCCATGTCATTCTCCTCTCCTTCGTTATCGTCTTCGTCGTCTTCCATCTCGGCGTCCTCTATCACGTCGGTCAGCCTGCATCGAAAGGGGCAAAACGGTTCGATTCTTTGCCGCAGAAATAAGACAGGAACTTATCTGGAATGAAACTTCGCATGAGCTGTCGGACCGAATATTTAGAAGAGGTTTTCGTTGAACGAGCACGCTGAGCACACTCACCTTTCTACGACTTGCGATTCCCGGTTGTAGAAGTCCTTGAATTTAAGGCCCAGCTTGGTTAGCTTGTTCACGATCTCCACGTACGACTGGCTTCCTTCCTCTGGAATCTCCTTGAAGAACACTGGCTGCTTCTTCTTGAATGGGTATTTCTTGGCGCGTTTGCATGATCCGAAGCAGTGGGAGCCGCCGTCGTCCTCCGAGCTCAGAAAGCTGAAGAGCTCGTCAATCTGCTGGATCGAACCGTACTTCCTCTTTCTGCTCGCTTCTCCTCGGGCGATGGTCTTGGCGTCCTTGAAGTCGTCGAAGAGCTTCACAGCGCGCTTCTCCAGCACGCTCTGCACAGAAAATAGTGATCGAATTAACTCGAGAGCGACGGTCCATCAATCAAAAGAAGTCCAGGTCGGACGAAGAACGCACAGTCCAAAGAGTCACTAGAGCAAAACAAAGGAGGAAAAGTCAGGCCATGTCACAATCTAGACTCACCAGGCTGAACTTGTCGTCGTCCTTTTGCTCCCAGCTCTTGTCGTCGCCATCTTCTTCGTAGGGATTTTGCCAGTCGAGAACCTTGCTGACGATCTTTGACACGACCGGGTCGTTCTCAAAGTGCACCCGTTGGCGGAGCAAAAGAAGGATGTAGCCCCAAGACGCAGCCACCGAGTTCTCTGAGATCTTGTACACGTTTCCGACGCTCAGGTTGCTGGGACAGTTTGGGTCGCAGATAGTCATGATTGCTTCGTACGCCCCCGCAATGGCGAGAGCGTCTCCTTTGGCTTTGGACAGGAACCCTGCAGGAAACATGGAGAAGTCGGTTATTCTCAAAATTGGCCTGCGTTTTTCTTTTTTCGATCTCCCTCTTTTGCAGACAGAATGCAACAGATCTAGTTTCTGGAACGACAGTTTTCTTCTTAATTATTGTTTTGGATACTCACCACCCTTCTCTCCCTGGTCCTGGTCGTACAGAGACTGCAGGACCGTTTGGATGCGGTCGTGTTCTTTTTCGAAGGCCAGCTCGGCGTCCCCGTCCAGAATCCAAGTCACCTTCCTGGCAGTGCCGTCTTCGTCGTGGGCGAGCTTGTATAGGCGGTAGAAGATCTTCAAACAATGAAAATGCATGCATCAGACTTCAATAAAGAGGATTACTACAGTCCGAAATTCTGCAGTTTGTCAGAACTCGACTCGTCAAATCGACTAGGCAGCAGGACACGACTACGCAGACCTACCTCTGTCAACCGGTTGTCGTCGTCCTTGATGGTGTTTTGCTCGTTCACAGGAATCCGCAGCGCGTCTGTACAAAGATCCAGACATACATTCAGGTCTTATTATTCTAATTTTTGATTTTAAAACAAAAATTTCCTCTCTTAAAAGCACGTGCCTTTTCTGTTCACAGAGCGAAGCGAGCGGAACCAGCAAGCAGAACAAGAAAATACTCATTTGAGTGCTTCGACCTCAAGAGCTTCCAGGGGTGAGTCTCGCAACCTTTTATTGTTAGTGTTCAAGTCACAGGAAGTTTGCTCGCTTTGTTTCGCATTTGGAATCTTAAAGGAACGCGTACTACCAGCAAACTTACCAAATTTTGGATAGAGCTGCGGCAAGAAGCAGATGGTCCACCTGTTCATCAGGCCGTCGTTGGGAACTTTCTCGATTTCACGCGCGATCGGATCTGGCTGCGTGTATCCACAGACAACCAGATGCGTCAGTTCACAGCTCCTCTTGTCTTTTTCGCTGACCGTCTCTCGCGTCCACGCTCCTCCACCCCGAAGCTTTAGAGCCGTGATGCGGTCAGCGTTCCCCTTTTTGAAGCAGTCTAGTGATTCAAAGAACTGCATCCCTTCTTCCAGATTTAGAAGCCCCGAGTGGTCCTTGTTGCTCAGCAAGATGTTGAACAGCCTCTCAAACGTAACCTGCAGAATGAAAGATAAACGTTAATTGTGTGATCACATGAACGACTAAAAAGAATAAAGCCTTTGAAGTTCCATCTGCAGAGTATTTGATATTCTTTTTGTATCAGAATGACATCAACACGGAGTTCAGAATCTATTTTACAGAGCGACATGCTACTGTCCTGATCAGAGAGAATTTCGAAAACAGTCAAAGAGCACATGCGAGTTTCTTAGGCTTACCGCGCCATCAACTGCGACCTTTACGAATCCTGCATTGCGCATCTCGTCTTCGTAGGCTTCAGTTCCTACTGGGACCTTGTTTTCTTCGAGGTAGCTGATCATCCTTTCCTTGACTTCGTCGTTAATCTGCTCTTCAAAAGAGGTCACCGCTTTCTGGACCTTGTTGTAGGCTTGTGTTTTGCCTCCACCGCTAGACGACACAGCAATGCTCCAGTTTAGAACTCTCGTCTTCCAGTCACACGACGTGATCACCACCTCAGAAAGTGGCCCGAGGCAGTAGGTGGCCACAGACACCACCGGCAAACCCAAAGCCCAGGGGCTGACAGCAACCCTCCTCGCACTTCTGCAGATAACGTCAGCGATGGACTCGGGAAACGAGGTCATGAAATTGTCCACTGTGAGGATCTCAGAAATAGCTCTGATGTTGCCAATAGCACAGGCAGGGTGTCCTCCATTGCTCCGTCTCTTTGCCATTTGGACGGCGATCTGATAGATTCAAGCCAATAGAACCTTTTGCTTTCTTTGATAATGTTCACGATCAGTCCAACAAAGCGCGAGTACACTTCTCCTGCTCGCAATCAAAATTGGCAGTCGTTCATCAAGAACTTTCAAAACCTACCGAAACGAAATGGCAGGCTGTTTTCCTGTGTGAGACTCTTTGCAAAGTATTGCTGCTGCGCACGAGTCAAGGTGCGCTCATATCTAAATGTTCGAAACTTGAGGAATGAGCTGACTATGTGAAGAATGAAATGTAAACTTGGATCGAGATCTAAATGATGCTTCAGATGCAAAAGTCTCACTACAGGAAAGCTATTATATAGGCCTCATGTGCATGACTTAACATGAGTCTCAAGTCTTCACTCACTCAGTGTTCGTACATAGCATATGCTCAAGAACCGTTCGAGATCTAGTACATATTGTGACCAGCCTAGCTGGAAAAATGCATGCAATCAATCTGCCACCGCATGGATCTCCGATCACGTCACAGTTTCTCACAGGAATATAAGCGATGATTTCTTGCTTCCTGATTGGTCGTCTGTCTATCTTGACAGCGACAGCCAATCAGATCGCACGGATCTAGAGCATGGAGTAGTTGATACAGATACCGTCCGATAAGGGCGGCGTCCTATCGGATGGTGCACACGCTATACTGCGCGAATCCCTGGATGCAATTCAAAAAAAACGACAAAAAGTTGATCGAAAGTTGCCGTAACGAGGATTCGAACTCGGACCATGCAAAAGCCACTAGCTATGAAGGTGGCGCGTGAGTTTGACCAGTTTGGCCAACCCACGCGTCAACAGCGAACCGTGGCCTTCCAAATGTGCTCCTTCAAAAATTTATATATTGATTTAAAAGCAGTGACCGATCGGCGGCCGGTAGCGCGACAAACCTTTTGCCGCGCGCGGCCGGCTGGCCAAGATGGCTAGTGTAGTCAGCCAATGACGGACACAAAAGTTGGGGCTTTTGTTCGAGCCCCGCTATCCCCACCGCCAACCGGTCTCTCACGCATTTGCGTCTAAGGAATCATCATCTTTGTTTTTTTTTTCCACCCCTTTTCCAACTTCACACAATTCTCGTACCTAGGCTCCATTCGCAATCATGAGGATGAAAGCAGGCGTCACTATACCATAATATACATGTTCAACCTTACACTATACTTGTACTCCTAATTGGTCATACAGTGTTCAGTTTCCTAGACCTGACCGCATTCAATTGAAAAGACCAGGTCATTCAAAGTTCCCAGCCGATAGATACTTCTGCTCATCAATGCACATTCCAGTGTAACCATGTTCGAAAGCCTCAAAAAGCGCCTCCGTCGGGAAACAGGTGCCTACGAACCACCGTCATTTGAGTTGATTCCTGAACCCCAGGAGGTTTTGAGAGATTTTGTAAAACAGGATGAGGCGCTGGCATTTGCTAGATCGTGTTCTAGCTGCTACGATAACCAGCTGTACATCTTCGCCAAGGAGAACCCCGAGACTGGCGGTCGTACATTCTTTGTCTCAACATTCAGCAATTTCTTCACTAGGTAGGATCAGCACACGTCCGTTAAGAGCCTGTCCACTGTTTGAGCAAAAAAAATAGTGGATTCGCTTTCTGAACTCACGTGTCCTCAAGCCTACCATCCTACTAAGCGAAGCAGAGTCTTGCTAACAGCTCCCTGCTGCTTCCCTTCCGTGCAGGTGGAGCAGTCATAAACTCCCTGGAGAGCGTCACTTTTACGAGGTCATCTACGACGTAAGGAGCCAAATTCTCCACGACTAGGTTCTATAAGCTGAACTCTTCAGGACTATCGAGGTCCCTTGGAAAAAGTTGCATGGCCTGCACCGCCGTTTCTGCAAGGAGATGACATTTTTGAAACATTAATCAATCGAAACTGTTTGTCTTGCAGAAATGCAACCTGTTTGTAGACATCGACGGAGATAGATCAGCTCTACCATCCCTGCTTGAAGTGGAGGAAGGGATTGAACAATCTATACAATTAGTAGACCAGCTCGCACATCACGTCTTCAGGGCCCACCTGGACTGGGGTCGAGTGGTAGAAATGGACGCGTCGAACTCCGGTGAGCAGCGTCTTTGGCGTCTTTGCTCAAGGAACTAGGACCTGGCCGGATGACAACTTGCAAGAAACGAAGAACTCGATCACAAGCTGTATCTGTATTCAACCCGAAAATCTTGCCCCACTCTGATTTTCAATTCCTCGTTTGCCTTGCAGTGAAGTTTTCGAGGCACTTGGTGCTTCCCTTCTTCAACCACCACTTCACAGACACTAAACAGGCCGGCAGGTTCATCTCGCAGGCAAGCGCAGCATCTGTAATGTGCGGCGCTCTCTGGAAAAAGATACATATCGATCAAAACGCGACATGCTCTTCTTTCTACTTTGACACCGATTGTCTAGACGAATGGTGCCCTGTCATTCGTTATTTTTTAACAGGAAGATGGAAAGTGGAGCTCCTTTAGAGATTCCGTACGATCACACACCTCACTGACGCAGGTTTGCCAAGAGCTTACCAAACGAACGCAAAACGGTGACAAGAGATACCTTCCGCTAGTCAAGACGTGGACGGAGCAAGGCGAGGCGCTGCTGCTGATCGATCAAGCCGTGTATACAAAAAACCGGCAATTCAGGACTTTCGGATCGACAAAATTCAGAAGCACCAACGACCTCAAGCTCACGAACAGATACTACGAGACCAAGGTGGGTGAGGTCACAGATTATATGTCGGAAAAAGAACAAATCTCTGTAATCAAACACATTCAATGGGCTCAGCTGACAGATCGAACAGATGAAGTCCAGTAATTCGCCTTGTAATTTTCTTACTTGAACGCGACGTTCTCATCTCGCTCTCAGGGACCCAAAGAGGACCTGAGACACAGTCTCGTAGGAAACGTACCTAGGTCCAGCAAAGAACTGACGGCGCACACGCAGGTAAGCATTTGGCGACGTTACTTTTTCTTGTCATCGACTGCGCCAAAAGCAAAACCACGAGATGTATTGGAGTATTATGCTTCGGTTTGCTCATCAATCTGGTGGCACCACTGCAAACGCTCCCCTATCTTCTGCAGATCCCACCGCCATCACGGAAGCTGAATGATACAAAACCTGAGACAGAAACGCAGAGTCTGTACATCCCGTTCAGAGATGAGGCCCTAGAACAATACCTGAAGAGCTGCACTCGTTCCCTCTGTACAGACGAAAACGGTGAGGACCGCGTGCACATCCGTGCATGTTTTCAACTGTGGACCTGCACAGTCGGACAGGTTGACGGAGAGCCGCAGGATAGAATAGTGATAAAAAATAGAAAACCCAACCGTTTCCTGGCGCCGATTCTGGCGTCCTTTTTCCGTCCACTATGCAGCGAGCATCCAGTCAGGCAAGCTGTACTCCCATAACTACGTCATCTACAACATCACAGATAGCACATTCTGCCCCGTCAAAAAGGGCGAGCACAAAAAGCACTCCGGTGAGATGTCATGAAAGCAATTTTGTTCTGTTTTTTTCTCTTTTCTTCGATTCTAATCTTAGCTTTTATCCTTCCCGCTAAACATGGACATAAGATTCAAGTTTAGGCGTATACAAATTCACGCGGAAGCAGGATGTCAGACGCCCGTTTTGAATTCTGTGCAGCGTACTGGGTGGTGGATACGGCAGACTCGTGTACATATTTGAAGTGCCACGATGTGGCGGATTGCGAAGGTGAGTTCCACGTTATCACATCCGTAGACAGCTAGAATGATCCGTCAAACGTCACGAGACTTTATATGAAGTTTCCTTAATGAAAGAAGGCGCGCTCGCATACAAAGTCGCGCTCACATACAAATCTGACTGCATACATACAAAATCAGATGACGCCTTTTTTCCTCTCCGTTTCGCAGGGAGAAAGTCTACAATCAAGCCTTTGCCCAAGCACCTAGCGCTCAAGCTCAAGACTACCGTGTCCGAAATTTTGCAGATACAGGAAATGCTGTCGCAGGTACGAATAATATTGTATGTCCAGTTTCTTTAGCCTTCGACCGTAAGGCCGCTGTGACTTTGCTTCTCTCGCTACTTCTGTAACCAAAAGTCTGTGTCCTGTACATTAGCACGACCAACAGGATATTAAGTACGACTCTTTGTAAGCTGACCATCCGCGTCCTCCACGTGACAGGACGACACGATTGCACTCTTCGACAACGAGACGACCGTTCTTGGCGAATCAGCTTGCTCTCCACCCTTCCCCCACGAAACGACCCCGCCCCAGCCGCCCTCGAACGCGCCCTCCCCTGCAGCGAGCAGCGCGCGCGAGGCAGAGCCGGGCGCTAGCGGGAACGAGCAGCTGGACGCGCCGAGCGAGAGAGGCGCCGGTCTCGCTTCAGCATCCAGCCCATCGCCCCAGAAAACGAACCCGCCCCAGCCGCCCGTCCCGAAAGCGCCCTCCCCTGCAGCGAGCAGCGCGCGCGAGGAAGCGCCGGGCACTAGCGGGAACGAGCAGCTGGACGCGCCGAGCGAGAGCGCCACCGCCCCTGAACCTCCCTTGATTGCACCCCCTCCAGCAGCGAGCAAAGAGACAAGTACGCCCAAGTCTTTGCCCCCGAAAAAAAGACCGTTGACTGCAGACGCACAGCGCAGATACATCGAAGACGTAGTACAAGATACAAAAGACCAGACGCCAGATGAGGACATCAGTGGATACATCTTTTACTGGTTGTGAAAGACAAACGTAGGCAATAAACTCATAGTACACGGACTATATGGAAGCATGTGTTTAGTCTCTTCTTAACAACCAATAGTAATCGGATGTCCAAACATGTGTGCTTTGAAGATGCATCTTGCCAAGTCTTTTTTTGATGAATTTGAATTTGAAGAAAGCTCTCACAGGGGAGAGATGCGCAGCCCCAAATTTTACAAGGCAAAAAATGATGAAATTGAAAATGAAGAAGGTCTTCCCGGGAGGGAGACCTGTCTGCTGACGTGGCATGTTGAAAAATGATGAATTTGAATTTGAAGAATCCCTATCTAGGAGAGAGCCGGGGGGTGCTGACGTGGCATACCATTTTGAAGAATTTGAATTTGAAGAATGTAGTCGAAAGGAAAGGATAGGTTCGATGACGTCATCAAGATTGATGAAAAGTGAATTTGATGAAACATCGTCTCATGCTTCATTCAAAGTATAAAATGAATGAATTGAATGCTGTCCTGGTCTTCACAACGATACATTCATTCTAAGAATCGGGTTAATAAAAAAGAAGGGTTAATAGGGAGTAACCGAACCCGGTTTTCAAATTGAAAAATCTAAATGAATGAAGGCTAAAATGAACCTTCAACTTGTAATCCTTCCCCCTTCATTGCCACCTTCTGCCCCATGTGCTTTGTGTGCACCTCTGCATCCATGTGTGCTGTCTCTAGCTGATTTCCAACACGCACTCATTCGCTGCGGCATTCCTTGCGCGTGGCACCGGGACATGAGGTGAATACTCCGACGTTGGGTTTGCCGGATCGTGTACATTTCCACATATGAGTGTACATCGCTCAATATTTCTAGTTGATTGGACGAGGATTCGTGTACACACACACACATCGAACACCACTAACAGGTGGCGAAAGCAGAAACCCTCCAACAATTCATTCAGCACTTCACGGGCTCTACTATGAGTGGCGGCATGGACCAAGAGCAAGCCTTGGAGTCACTATGCTACTGAGCTCTTTGCTCCTCTCAACGACCAACGCTTCAAGACCGGCATGGACGCTCGAAAGTCTGGTGGCATGGCGTGGAGGGCTTGGTTGGACGAAGAGTATGCACTCATTGACAAATACTTTGAATATCAATTGGAACTTGAAGAGTACAAAAGAGAATCCGAGCGTGTGAGCCGAGAGCTCGAGCAAGCACGAGTAAGATGGATTGATGTACATCTGGAACGTAGGTTCAAAAGCTCAAAGGCATTCAAGCGACACGTAGATCGGGATATCGATTAAAGAGTCTTGGTCATTGACTGGCAACTTTTATCAAACGTACTCTAGGCCTTGGAATGGACGCGATTCTTGAATTTCGACCACAATCCTTGTTTGCTATCCAGCAGATGGACGGACAAGTTTTGGAAAGTGCTCGATCAGCCATTGTAAGATGCTATCGAGAGTTTGGTTTATTGGAGACCGTGCTGGACGCGGCTGCCTTGGGTGGTATCCGAGCTCTGGTAGAACCGTTCAATCTTCGTCACATCACCAAATCACTGGTTAGATCGTTGGTTGCGGATGGCTTTAATGCATTTTGGGACAAGACGGGCATAGACGGCCCATATGCAATAAAGGTTAGCTGGCGAACGGCCCTTCACAATGCTTCTCAAGCTCGGCACCGAACACGCAAGTCGCAGAAGCGGCAAGAAAGTAAATTGCACGGGACGGGGAAGACGTCTCCGACAAGTTGCAAGGATTTTGTGGCCGGAACTTCGGGATCCTCCCGTTATGCTCCCAGCGTTGTTTGGAGTGATGCCCCAGTTATGGAACTCGAAGCTCTGGCTAACCCCGCAAAGATGCAGAAAAATGTTGGACCGCGAGATACTGCGGCAACTTGATACCGAAACTACCTCAAAAGTACCCGTTGACGAAAAATGGACGGCCATATTCACAGTATCTGGCTCAGTGTATTTTGCGCGCAAAATGGAGTAGCCATCTTGCTTTTCTGGCGGGTTCTACAGGCTCTCATAACCGTTTTCACCGTGAAAAGCTGCTACCCATCTTGAATTCGCGCGATCAATTTTGAACGTGGTCCTTCATGGTATCTGGGATTGAGGACGTTCGGATGGTCAAAAAAATCTTAGCAGTATCCAGATAACGTGAAACATGCAAGGGCCTGTTGAAAGCACGAGACCAAGGGGAAGGGCTACTGCGCTTGGTATTCGATGATGGCACTCGAAAGGATTTGACGATTCAACAATATATCAATCATGTCATGCGCTTGTTTCAAGGGTTCAAACGGCAACAAGACTTTATCAGCTTCGATTGGATCAAGGATGCCGATGGGATCATCAAGTATTTTCAAGAAGCGTATCCCACAAAGCTATCAATGCAGGCCACTGGAATTAACCCGCTCCTTGTGATAGCGCGCAAAGCATTCCCCGATGACAAACAGCTCTATGATGCCTATTACAAGCGGTACATGGAGGTTCGAAAGCTTATGGAAGATGCGAAACCTCCTCCTCAGCAGTTGACAGAGCGGGAAGCGGCCAATTGGAAGACCTTGGGCCAGATCAATGAACGCCGAAAGGAGCTGCAAAGGCACGTGAATCGCAAGATTCTACACAAGAAACCAAAAGATTTGACCGATGAGGACAAAATTGTGCTTTTTTGCCATCTCATACTGTGCCTTTATAGCTATCAACCAGCAATCCGAAATGACTACAGCGATTGTCCCGTTGTGCGCTTGAAGGACACCAAAACGGCCGAGGCTCGTGACATCATGTCTGGTTCCGGGAACTATCTCTTGGAGATTGCACAAGACCAATTTCGACTGGTTTTGAACAATTATAAGTCTGTCAAGCACCACGGACCCACTTCAATAGACATGTCAACCCGATGCAACAATGTCATTGCCGAAAGCCTTCAGGTCTTTCCCCGAAAGTTTCTTTTGTCTCAGATTAAGTCGCCTGACAAGCCAATGAGTCGAAACTATCTGACCAAGTTCTGCAGCACGGGCCTTTTCAAGGACGCGAGTGTAGGTTCATGTCTCCTTCGCAAAATATGTGTAAGCAACCTCTTCAAAGACGCTCCGAGCATTGCCGAGCGCGACGACCTTGCGCGGAGCATGTTGCACACGGCAGCTATGGCACAACGAACCTACGAGAAAAAGTTTAACCCGGATGGAAGCCGCATCCAATTTTGAACGATCCTGGACCTTCCTGTCCATCTAAGATACTTTGATGCTCGTGAATGCATCCAGAGGAAGGGTGGGTGCTTTGATCTCACTCTCCATATCAATAGAGCTAGTCATCTGGGGCACCTTAAATCCGGCATCCAACAGACGTCGTGCTGTAGATTTGTGGAGCTTTTTCGTTCGGCCATTTATGAATCTTTGATATGCTTTTCGTAACAGAATCTCGTCATGATGTCTGTAATAGTATGCCCTCACACTTGCGTTGTGCTTTTCTGGGTGAATCTTGGCATATTCTCTGTGTTTTTGACACGCTCGACACGGGCACGGGTTGTGCAATTGTGTTGCATCAGAGGCATCAAAGAAGCTTTCATTCATGTGGTGGACCATTGAGTCCTGATGATGTGTGAGATTATATTTGCGATGCTTCAACCGCAACCCAATTCAGGTGCGTTTCTCTGACGTGCTTTTATTTCCTTGTGTGACACAAGGACCTTGGCATGTCTGCATCTGTGAGTGGCGCTCAACAAGCTGGCGGCTCTCGGGCCTCGGCCCCAGGATATTTCAAAGCTCTAGGCCCTCATGATGTCGATGAGCGGCTTGTGCTTGTTACCCAAGATGGCCGACTTCATGTGTCTGCAGAGAATGCTCCGATTCAGCCTCATAACAAGCAAAAATATTGGTTGGTAGATGCGATGCGAGCTTTATACAAGCAAGGCATGTACACGGTCCCTCTACGGCTTCAGATGATCAGGGGCAAGAAGGATGCAAGCTTCAGCGGCGGCGCCTACACGCCCTTGATGGAGTCGTTGGATGGTTGGAAAGAGAATATCAATGCATACATTGCTCGGGCTTCAACAAAAGTGAATGCTTTGGCTGTACTATGCGGCATATCCGACATCTATGTCGTAGACGTAGACGCAAAGGGAGCTCCGGCCCAAGGGAATAAGCCTGCCAAAGAGGCTGGAACACAGCTCTGGGAGCGCTTGATAGAGCAGTATGGTGATGTTGAGACGTTGAAGGCTCGGACCGGATCAGGAGCGGGATTGCATGTGTATTTTAGCGCAAGTAAAATAGTTGGTCTGGTGAAGAATGCCAACTTCTCAGGTGTTGCATATGATAAGAAGACATGGGCCATCGATGGCCGTGGGCAAGACGGGATTGCTTTCATCTCTCCATCCAAGTACTACGATGAGAAAAGGACGGAGTACGGCTACCATTGGCTTGATGGTGACGAATCAGCACCTCGTGTTGGGATGCCGAGCTGGTTGGTTAGCTTTCTTAACGAGAGCGCATTCACAGAAGAGCCACATGCTAAACTCCAATCGTCAAAGGCTTTGCCAACGCCTAGCATTGAAGCAAGCGCGCCCTCAAGCATTGTAGGGGGTCCTTCCGACTCCGGATTGCCTGGATTGGACGCCGCGCTCAAGAGAATCAAGAAGCTCCTCCAAGCTAAAGCGCCAGGGGATCGGAGTCGATTCAGGGGAGTTGGGAAAAGAACCGCAACGGGCTGGCAAATTCTCAAGTTTAGAACGGTCGGCGTTCGTACATGTTTGAACGGTCACCAACACGACGCAAATCAGTTCAGCATCCTGAGCAACGGGTGCGTTCTCGTCTACCGCTGCTTGAGCCCTGGGTGCATTGATCGAACAAAGCCCCTGTTAGGCATACATTTTTGGCCCGAGTGTCTGCCGCTGAGGGTGGACGGGGGGCTTTTCAGAGATTACGAACGCTATGTGCTCCCTTTTGAGCCACCCAAAGAAGATGGCGACAAGACGAAGAAACAAAAGGAAGATGACCGCACAAAAAAGACGAAATTGGACTTGCTGGATCTCGCAATGCACATCATGAACCACTACTTCGCTGTCATTCGCTCGACAAAGGCAATATACCTTGAGACAGTTTACTTGCAAAACTCAAACGGCCAGCTTCTGCCGGAGGAGATCATCGTTCGATCTATCTCGATCGATCTCGATCGATCTCGATCGCCGTGACTTCCTCGAAGTATGCAAAAATCTCCAGCTTCAGTGTCTGCCGGGAAACTGCAAGGAGGTTGCCAGATTTTGGGAGAGCAGTTCAAAACGCCGGGAATACGATCAGCTAGTGTTCGAGCCGGACCCGTCCAAAATGTCCTCACGGCACTTCAACCTGTTCAACGGGTTGAAGTTCCAACCAATTGAACGCAAATTGACGGAGTCAGAGTTCGTAGAGTGCGGGGAACACATGCCAAAGCTCATGTGGCACCTCCGCAACATCTTGTGCGATGGCTCAAGTGAGCGGTTTGACTACATCATCCGTTGGATGGCGCATGCCGTTCAAAAACCTTGGAAGAAGATAGGCGTTGCCCTAGTATTTCGAGGCGGGCAAGGGAGCGGAAAGTCGTCGTTGTGGAAATTCTTTGGACGCATGATCCTCGGCGTCAAGTATTATCTTTACTGCAACCAGATTGAAACGGTGATTGGCAAATTCAATTCACTAGGAGCCAACAAACTTCTTATTGTCTTTGACGAGGCGGGCAATTGGGGTGGAGCATTTCGAATGAACGATCGAATGAAGTCGCTAATCACTGAGGACGAGACATGTTTAGAGCACAAAGGCCGCGATCCAATCACAATGCAGGACAAGAGCAACATTGTGTTCACTACAAACAACTATTGGCCTGTGAAACGGGATTCGGATGATCGCCGATATGCTTGCCAGCAGTGCTCGAATGCCAAGATGGGAGACAAGCCATACTTTGATGCACTCTTGGCAGAATTGGAGAAACCTGAGACTCCTTATCACCTCCATCGATATTTGTCATCCATTGACATTTCCCACTGGGATCCCCAAAAAGTGCCGGTCACGGCTTGGGGAGAGGGTTTGAAGGAGCACTCAATCCCACCTCATGTCAATATGATGCAAGCGCTTCTTGAGAACGGCTGCTTCCATCCTTCTTTGGAGACGTGGGTTGCATCAACCGACATCAAGCGGACATTTGACACCTTCTTGCTTCAATTGGATATCAAGGAGGATCGACATACCGATGTCAACATCTTGATGCGCTCTCTCAACTCCATTTTCGATATGAGGCCACGGGCTCGCTCAATCCAGGGGGTGCGGACCCATAAGGGATGGTGGTTCCCCCCACAGGGCGCTATTTGCGAGGCCCTCCACAAAGGCAAGCTTCTGAGCACGACCGTGGAATGGGTGGACACCTGGCAACGGCACGAATACACTGAAGATGAAGAGGGGCCGTGGATGACCAATCCAGAAGCTTTCAAAAAGCTGATTGCCAGTGATCCAAAAGAGTTGCGGCAATCTGCTGCAGCACAAAAGTGCTCGTTCTGCTTAAACATTCATCAGTGGGAGGTGAGGAGAGACGCAAATGGGAATGTTGTGACTCGAGAAAGAACAAGAGATGATTCTTCTGAAGGCAATTGAGTACGAATCAGCTTATTACTCTCTTATTACCCTTGCCGCATTATACACACACATGAAAGTGCCCATGAAAGAAGCCCCAACCGCATATGTCTATTACTCTATTACCCTATTACCCACCGGATTTGAATATACAGAATCTTCTGAGCGCCTTTATCACAACATGACAGATGAAAGTTAAGGCGATGGGTAATGAGTAATAGAGTAATACGAATGATCATGAACAACTCCGCATCACGATTGTACTCTTGTTCTAACGG